TTAACATATGATCAGTTTCCGAGCTATGGCCTGCTAGGTTGCTCAGTATGCTGAGATGTAATGGAGTCTCAAGATTTCAGTGACTCATTAAATCCATGTTCTTCTTGATCGTTTCCTTCCTCTTGGTGCTTCTAATTTCATGCCATACGCTCTTGCTGCTGACAACATTGGATTCATTCTCCTTAAATGGCCAAACCAAACTAGTTTTTGTTTTTCAATGAATTTAATTACAGGTGGTGCTCTAATAATATTCTCTCATAATTTCTTTATTTCTCACATGATCTAGTTTTGTTCCTGGCCATTCTCAAACATCTTATTTCAGAGACAGTTTTTGTTTTTTCTTCATATTTTTAGTCAATGTCCGAATCTGACACTCACAGCACAAGGCTAGTATGAAGATTGCATTAATAATATGTCTTTTTTTTTTCATCTCTACTGGGATATACTGGTGTTCCAAAATTAGAATGAGTTGATATGTGACATTACTGGCTTGTTGTCTATTATCAAGTACTAGAAATGATGACCAAATAAATTTACACAGATTCTGTCTATCAAAAGGAAATCACAGCCAAACTAACTTCATAGTTTTTGACTATCAACAAGTCAAGAAATGACAGCCAAATTAACATCACTGTTTCTGTCAATCAATAAGTAGCATAAATTTACCAAATTAACTTCACAGTTTCTGTCTGTTAAGTACTAGAAAGAAGTAAACACACAGCAGAATTAATATAATTAAAGTAAAGATTACTTACGAGCACATATGGGAAATATTAAAGGATCCCCACTAGAAGGATTCCAAATTCCTTCATTTCCACAGCGATAAAATGGTGGGACGGGAGTTATAAAATGAAAGTTCTGTGTGCATGATGGGATACAATATCTCCCAAGAGCCCATTCTCCACAAACACGAGCTCCGTTAACAGGAGGTGGTGGGTCCAAACATTTCAACTCTACAAAAAAAAATTGTTTTGTCATTATAGACATTGTGCATGTTCATTACAATTTTAAAACTGCCTTTTTTTTTTTTTTTTTTACATATCATTACTGTATTTATCTGATTCTTACATTATATGGTTTGAAATGTGGATTGCCAATGATTGTTATAAAAACATCCGGAAGCATTTGAAATGTGTTGGCATCAAAGAGAGACAATCAGACTGGACAAAAACCCTGAGACATTACCAAGTTCTAAAACATATTTTTAAAACATGATTTCTGAAAAGTGAAGACTGATGAGTCTGTCATGTCCTAAGACATGGAGAAATACAAAGAGAGTATTCAGTTCCATGATGATGAAAGAGATAAAAAACACTGGTGAAATGAGGAAGAGATGATAAAGGACAATATCCTTTCAAATATGCCTGCACAGATCTAACACAGAGACATAAACAAAATAGAAGTGAATGGCACAAGAAAGACGACTAATAATGAATGATCAGGAAGGTTCATGAATGAAGAATACAAAACAAATAATATAAGACTGATGAACGCAGAAGAATAAGATATAAGAATCTACAGTGAAAAGACAGAAGTCATTTCAATAAAAGGAAAGAAGCAGAACCTAAATATAGCCGTAGATTGCAAAAACATTAAACAGGCATCTGAGTTTAAATATCTGGGAACAACATTCACCGAAGATGATTAGATGTAGAACTTAAAATCTGGTGCAGTATATCAAACCGAGTAATGGGATAGATAGAGCACCACCACCCCCCCCCCCCCTTTTTTTTTTAAACAACACAAGATAATCCCAATCAGCACAAAGAAAAATCTCTTTCAAAGAATATTCATTCCAGTCCTATGCTACTAGTGCCAGACATAGTCAATCACAATCAAACAGAAAAAAAAATTAGTAACCAGGGAAATGAAATGTCTGGTAAAGGCTGCAAAAGTAACCAGAAGAGATAAAATTAGGAATGAGGTCATAAGAGAAGAAGTCAGCACAGAACCAATTCTTAATTACATACAAAGACAAAAAATCAAATGGTTTGCTCAATTATAGAATGCCGTGTGGTGTCATACCAAACAGGGCATACACTAAAAGAGATGATGAACGAAAATCAAGAGATAGACCAAGAATAACATGTAAAGATAACATCAGAGAAGCTCTACACAGCATCATATGTCTAAGGCTGAGGTGGCCAGAAGAAAGACGACTAATAATGAATGATCAGGAAGGTTCATGAATGAAGAATACAAAACAAATAATATAAGACTGATGAACGCAGAAGAATAAGATATAAGAATCTACAGTGAAAAGACAGAAGTCATTTCAATAAAAGGAAAGAAGCAGAACCTAAATATAGCCGTAGATTGCAAAAACATTAAACAGGCATCTGAGTTTAAATATCTGGGAACAACATTCACCGAAGATGATTAGATGTAGAACTTAAAATCTGGTGCAGTATATCAAACCGAGTAATGGGATAGATAGAGCACCACCCCCCCCCCCCCCTTTTTTTTTTTTAAACAACACAAGATAATCCCAATCAGCACAAAGAAAAATCTCTTTCAAAGAATATTCATTCCAGTCCTATGCTACTAGTGCCAGACATAGTCAATCACAATCAAACAGAAAAAAAAAATTAGTAACCAGGGAAATGAAATGTCTGGTAAAGGCTGCAAAAGTAACCAGAAGAGATAAAATTAGGAATGAGGTCATAAGAGAAGAAGTCAGCACAGAACCAATTCTTAATTACATACAAAGACAAAAAATCAAATGGTTTGCTCAATTATAGAATGCCGTGTGGTGTCATACCAAACAGGGCATACACTAAAAGAGATGATGAATGAAAATCAAGAGATAGACCAAGAATAACATGGAAAGATAACATCAGAGAAGCTCTACACAGCATCATATGTCTAAGGCTGAGGTGGCCAGAAGAGCAAGAAGCAGAAACTTATATATCTCCCTCAACACCCAAAGTGGTAAAAGAGGAAGTGAAGAAGAAGTAGAAGAAGAAGAAGAAAAAGAAGACATGTACAGAATCAATTCATTTCACATTTCTCTGTCTGCTTCTCCTCATGATTTGTCTAAAATATTGTCATCTTGTGTTTCTTATAACTGGTGATATAAGTGGTTGAAGAAGTTGTCCAAGTGTTTCTCTTATTTCTTCATCCCATCATATGTTAATCAGCATTTTTTAGAATGTTGAATGATGTTAAATGTTGAATTAAGAATCGACATCACAGCACTTGAGACACTCCCATAAGCACTCCATCCCCATCTTCAGCAGCAAGAGAAAAGTTCTAACTCCGATCAGCATGTTATAGGATAAATATTAAAGAAGTATTTTCCTTTCCAAACACAAAACTTACTTCTGATGAAAATATGAAAGCTGCATTGTGCAGAGTTGTTCTTAGCATCATAGCCAATGTAAGTTACCAGGTACTGCCCATGTGGATATATTTGACCTGTACATGTGTGTAAAAAAATATTATTTACAGTTCATTTTATGGGTAATAGTTGTGTAAACATCAGAAAGAGACATTCATCATTTTTGTGTGTTATGAGAATAAGGAAACTGAAACATGTGTGACCACTTGATAGATCTGTGGGAAAAGAGACAGAAGTCGACAATGTGAGAAGATTCTTGACAGCTTTTTGTCAGGCAGGCAGAGGTGTCAGCACATGAATACATGCTGTTGAAGGGATTGCGTGACCACCCTCGGTAGTCAGCAAGGCACAGGAAGAAGATTTGTCATCTCATGAGAATCGCAGATTAGGTCTGCATGCTTTTTTTCTTTTTTTTTTTGCATCCATGACACATTGCCAAGCTATCCAGGTATTTATATCCGTCTTTCTTTTGCTTTCTTCCATCAAGTTTGCCAGCAGTCACCAAGTTTTTAAGTGTATTTCTTTTCATATGATGCCCCCCCCCCCCCCAAACTTATATAAAGGCATAATAACATAGTCTGATTTATTTTAAATGGCCAGCTCTCTTTCTCACAGTATCAATTATCAGAACATCTATAGATTAGCTCTTTCAGTAGCTAGCCCTCATATGGACACCAGAAGGAAACAAAAAATGGGGAAGACCAAAAGAGACCCTGCGCAGAACCATTATCAGGACAGGCTCAAGCATGGGCCTAATAAACATCCAAGACCTAAAGCAGGTGGCAACAAACCGTCAGACATGGAGAGCTACAACCTTTGCCCTATGTGCTGCCCTAGGCTCAAGAGGAAAGACTAACTAACTAAGTAGCTGGCAGAAATTACTTTCATTCTTTCTAATTTGAAACAGCTAATCATCATCATAATCATTATCAACAGCTTCCACTTTTGCTATTTAGTGTCATGGGAAGGAAATGTTGGCATTTTATCCTTGGACACCCTCTTCATCTTGTCAGATGTAGCAGTTTTGTTTGTAGTTGTTATGGCTACATTCTAATGAAAAGTAGCTAATGTTTTGGTTATAATAATGCAGTTATAGAACAGAAGGGACAACAGTATCAGTTCTAATAGAATAAATTAATTTAATAGCACAAGGTATAATAAAAGTAAAAGTATACTACTTTTTTACCTCTACTTTTTCATCTTGTTCTTGTTGTTCTTCTGCTGTATTTGCCAATAAAAGGGCAGCTGCCACTTTAGGTTGTGATTTTCAGCTGCAATATGTGTGCCTGTCAGGCCGGTATATTTTATTTCAGCAACACATTCTAATTAGTCACCTTTTATTACATGCTTGTAAAGAGAGAGTGGGTCTATTCCGTCCCCCCCCTCCCCCAACAGGGGCCCTGTGGCCCACAATAAACCCACTTGACTCAACCAGTAAATGTATGGGTGAGTCATATGGTACAAAAAAAGAGTTGAACAAAAATATTTATATCAGCTGCCATAAGAGAATTATTTATAAGCGATCATTACAAATTAGATTCAGGAGAATAGTTGGAAAAACAAAACTATCATGTTTTATGTAGATAATACCTGGTCTGTAGTTCTGTTTCACAGCAACAATGCCAATGTTATCTGTAAATTCAGGCTCTGTCCAGGTCACAGAAACCAAACCTTTCTCGGTGGTTACCACAATAGTACTTGGACAGTTCACAACTTCAGGTGGAACTTTGTCTTCTATATTGTTTAAAATATAGAATTAGAATAATATAAAGAAATAGGATTAGAGTAATATAAAGGACATTTTTATTTTCCTATCAAGCTATTTAAGCAAAGAAATGTGATGTCTCCATGAATTCGCTTACTGACAAGAAACCATGTTAGTGCTATGCACTTTCTCTCACATTTTTGTATTGGTCTGAGCTCTTTAGTTCCTTATAAAAGGACACAATCACACTGTACATTCTGGGTTTTGGGGCACAGCAGCTAAAAGCTTTCTTGCTTGACTGAAAATTGTGGGTTCAAATCTTGATCGTGGTAAATTTTTTATGGTTGACTTCAGGCTCTATGGTACACCTAGCCTAAAAGTAGACATGGCTGCATCATGCTGACTATGTCACCTACTGAGGACTGACTGGTCTACAAATATGTAGGTTGCGCATTCCTCTCTAGTTTTCTTGTGATGCTGTAAAGGTCTCTAGGGTTCCTTTCAATGCTGCTGTCTCTGCTTCTTCTGTTCAGTCATCTAGGTATGTTCATTTGTCAAACTGTATTTGCCTTTAAACTTTCTTGTTATCTTCTGCATATATTGCATGTGCTCTGGAGCAAGCAGCTCATTTTGCTGCTGTTGAAATCTACCTTTTTGCTTTTCTTTTTTACATTTTTTTCATTAAGGATTTCTGCCATTAGCTACCCCTTATGATTCTGTTTTCTTTTACCAATGAATTCTACAAAAAATTCATTTAAATTTCTTTTAAATTGTTGAAACTAGTCTTCAATGCCCACCTTCCAAGCTATCTGTTGCAGGACCTGGTAATTATTTGAGACTATACAGTGTGTATTACTGAACTCCTTAAAAAAATGAGAGGATATCATAATTGTTGAACATTTTTTTTAAGGTACTGAAGTTTTGATGAACGAATTATGAACGAATATATAAAATATCCATGTTCTATTTAATAAATAAAGTTTGTACATGAGGACTTTATTTACCTGATGAAGAGGAGACTAAATCAGTCTGATCACCAGATGAAGACACATCCTCTCCACACAGAGATGGCATGGTAACATAACATCCAAACAAATGAGGCTCAGCTGTCACCCAGTCAAACAGATTGCCTTGCTAGACAGAGAACAGCATATGTGTTAACCAGGGTTGCCAGATAAAAGAAATCCTCATTTTATGCCAAACCATTACCCAAAATATGCCAGAAAATGCCACATAAAGTGTGACATTGTACTCGCTTCATATCAAAAGCTATAGATTGAACTCTTCCCTGTCATCCTCACTGGACAAGTGGAAGACACAGCGTAAACCTTTTCGGGTGTAAAATCTTCAAGCATTTTCTCAAAGGGATGAAGTCTTTGCAACTCATCTATAATGCTGGCATATTTCTTGTTCCGAAAATCATCAATAAGGTCATCCTTAAGTGCAGGTGATAAAATATTTTATATCGGACATAACAATATAGTTATATGCAATTGTATGTGCTCCAATGTGACCTTGCGCTCTCATGATTTCACTTAGATGATAATTGTGTGTAGTGCACAATGACAAGTCATGCCTACAGCAAGTTGCAACTCTGCTGCCTTTAACTTTATCATTACTTTGCCTAGGAGTCATTGTTGTAATAAGCTGTGACTGGCTTTTTGACAGAGTTTTCATCCTGCGTTTTTTGGATTTTTCATGATTTGATATGCTACTATATCTTGGTGCACTGATACAGTTTACAATACACTGCCTTTGATCTGTCTGAAGATTTTTTGAGCCGTGGGAATGTTTTCTTCCAGTTACTTTTATACTTGCGATGTCACTAGAAGCTTTCCATTTTTTTGGATAATGTGGCCATTGGTAAATGTAATAATATCTATCACAGACAAAACAAGGTCCATATCCTGTCTATTTACTGTCCTCAAGTCATTTCTGAACAGTCTGAAACACTTGGTATCAGTGGTGGGTTTTGGTTTTATATCCCGCATTTATTCTAGTAGATTAACATAAATTACAGAGGGCCTTGATTTAAAGAAGTCACCATCCGTTTAGGAAGACAATAAACACAATAAGAAATGGCACAAATCTCTGTTAGTCCGTACCAGGACATCACAACAAAGTCAAACTGAAATAAAGATGTTAACTGAGGTCCCCACTGCTTTTAGTAAATCTGCATGTTTCTAACGGAGGAACCATGAAACAAATGTGAGCACATCTTGATAAGAAAAGCCAGGAAAAAACCCAAATATGCCAAAATATGCCAGCTCATTATCTTATGCCAGTTCAATTTCAAATATGCCAAATTTATGGAATCTGGCATCAAAAATGCCAATATGGCAACCCTGGTGTTAACTAGGTATTGTATTGAAATATGGTCTTCTGCCTTGCTAGACAGAGAACAGCAAATGTGTTAACCAGATATTGTATTGAAATATGATCTTCTGCCTTGCTAGACAGAGAATAGCATATGTGTTAACTAGTTATTGTATTGAAATATGGTCTTCTGCCTTGCTAGACAGAGAACAGCATATGTGTTAACTAGATATTGTATTGAAATATGGTCTTCTGCCTTGCTAGACAGAGAACAGCATATGTGTTAACTAGATATTGTATTGAAATATGGTCTTCTGCCTTGCTAGACAGAGAACAGAATATGTGTTAACTAGATATTGTATTGAAATATGGTCTTCTGCCTTGCTAGACAGAGAACAGAATATGTGTTAACTAGATATTGTATTGAAATATGGTCTTCTGCCTTGCTAGACAGAGAACAGCATATGTGTTAACTAGACATTGTATTGAAATATGGTCTTCTGCCTTGCTAGACAGAGAACAGCATATGTATTAACTAGATACTGTATTTGGTTTTCTCTTGCCCTTCATTTTCACAAAATGTCCTTTTCTCACAAAGTATTTGCTTTCACTTTCTCAATGTACCAATGAATGTGGATTATCTTCTTCTGATGAAAATAGTTACAAATAAAGCTGAAGAGTGAATAGCTGAATACTGTATGCAGTCAGATATTAGTAACCTGCAGCACTATCTTTGCTCATAAGGAGATTCATAAGCTAAGAGTTCTTCTTTCAGTTTTTGCCAATGTACTCATTTAATTCTTAGCATTCTAAGAAGAAATCACAGCTCTAATTTTTTTCTAATCTTGATACTGAAAGTCCATGATCCACACCTGATGAAATGACTAAGAATCAAATAGACCACCTCTGTATAAACAACAAATATAAAAGCTATCTGATGGATGTCGGGCATACAGAGAAGCAGATGTGGGCAGTGACCACATCATGAATGTTGGAAAACTAAAGCTCAAATTAACAACAGCTGCTAAAAAACATGCCCAACAATGAATAGATAGTCAAAGGCTTAGGATTGTATAAGTTGGAGTATATGCTATGGGATTTCCTTCTTTGGTTAACCTTGTATCCCCAAGAAGACGCAAAACTGTCACACTTATAGTTTGGTCCAATTCCCTATGAGAGTAACTTTTCTGACATGGTTGTAATTATTGCTTTACAAGATGCCTTGATGAAAGTACTGTTATTTTTGCATGTGTGCACATGTTTAGCAGGATCATTAATGAGTAAATTTACTAAAAATAGCATTTAGAAGGGTTTTCCTGTGAAAAAAGGTTTATTAACCCTTTCGCTGTTGCACCCTCTGCCAGCCAACGTAACCACTGTGCTAAGCCAGGCGAGTGCTAATCCTTCCTCCTGTGCTGAATACCTTTTTTTTCCCTCCAAAAGCAGAAGATGCGCTAAAAACTCTTTGAAGGCATATGGTTGACCTTTGTGCTGACAAGTCAGAAGCGCTTTGGCTACCCCATGAAAACTCATTAACAAAAAGAAAACACTATAAACTTACAAAGCAAACACAAAACACTTTATTTAGCAAATACATGGTTTTTATTATTATTACTAATATCTTTTTGTGTGAAATATTTCAAAACAAGGTGCGACACAAAATGCCAAATCACAGTCCTTGCAGATGTATCTGGTTTCCCGTCGTTTTGTGCTTTTTGCTCATACCACACACTTTCTTGTTGGGAATTTCTTCTGTGATGTTACGGACTCTATCATTTAAAGGAAATGCCTTTGTACTAAACGAAGTGGCAGATCTTCACTTTTTTGTCCTCCTACACTGTTTCTCTTTTCTTTGCAAAATTTATGTAGAATTTATCTTAATAACACAAAGCAACAGGGTAACGTGTTACGCATCTAAATCCATCTGAACGTGACAGGATGTTTAATTAATTAATACCTCTGTGATCTGTTGCCGAAAGTGCTAAGAGCAAAAATTTAAAATTAACATTTGAATTTTTTATTTTTTTTTTAGCGGCATTTAGGGGTTGAATGCTGGATTTTTCTATTGTAAGGCAGACGTGATACCAACTACACTAGAAATTCATACGAAAATTAGATCTGAAAATAGGTCAAGCATTGTACACTTTGATAGACAGACACATTTATGTCAGTTGTAAAGTATATTAGAAACATTAGTATTAAATATCATGTCAGTACATGACCATATCTTCATTTTGATTATTGGGGATCCATTTCAAATCCAGTCTATGTAGATAGCTGGGTCATATGGTCAGTCTTGCTCCCAGCCAGAAGTACACGTGTCCGCTGGCATGCCGCGAAGATAACCCAGCTCATTTAACTCACACGTTTCAAAGTGATCCTTACTATTATTCCTCGAAAAAACTCCATTAATTCTTCATTAATTTTAATTAACCAATTTTCTTGTTATTTTGTATTTTTTTTTTTTAAGTAGACTAACTCAAAACCAGAAATATATTTCAGATAAAAAAATGCCATTCACCGACTATGCTTCTATGGTAACAAAGCAACATGATAACGTGAAACACATCTAAATACACCTAAACGCACGTGATAAGGGTTTTAATTGTATGTAAATGGGTCAGTTTGATCAGATCAAGGTAATGTGTATTGCCATTTCACCCCCGAGAATTATTGTCTTTAGCAATCTGTAAGAAAAGTCGAGGACGAGCTATCTCGTCCTTAGCAGTGAGGGCACAGAAAACGGAAGACGAGTTAGCTCATCCTTAGCAGTCTACCGGGCAGACGAGTTATCTCGTCCATAGCAGCGAAAGGGTTAATAGAAATTATGACAATGTAATTTTTTTCCTTTGGTCACAGTGCTTAGAGGTCATTATAAACATTTATGTTTAGACTCAAAGAGATGTAACCCAGTTAGTTCTCTGCTGCATTCATGTTTACTAATGACTTCCCAAATTCTGTTGGGAAATTAATATTGTTTTGGTCAAGAAATGGAACTGTGATTTGTTTATTTCTGTGTGTGGGCAGAGGGGGTGAGGAAAGTTGGGGGAGGGGGTTGGGGGGAGGTCAGCTGTATAAAAGGGTTTTCTTTCCTAAAAATTATATTATTAGTTGGGGAATTCCCTAATTTATGGATCAATGGAATTTTTTTCAAGGTCCTGATGCAAAACTGTTAGAAAATGGTTTTAAAAAATGAAATACTCACCATGTAATTATCACAGCTCTGTGACATGTTTTGCACATCTTTCTTGTCCAGGGCAAAGCTATAAATATTGACTCCATGCAAGTAACCTTTGAACCATTCACTTGTATCTTTGTAGCTTGCAGGCTGTCCAAGTGTCAGCTTTAGACTGGGAGAGGAAATTTGTATAACAAATTGTGTATAATCAGATGAATAGTATATTACAATATATCAACAACAACAAACTGTTAATTGAAACATATTTTTACAAATAGCAATACCAAAGTTGTAGCAATAGTATTTAAACAATGACATCCTGTTCTATCCATCTGGGTTATAAATGGGACATATGGAGTTTATTTTTTTATTTTTCAGTATGGGATATTTATGCTTGTTTGCTACTTTCGGATATTTAAAATTACATAGATTATGTATTAATTTAAACAGATTGTAGAAGTATATGTAAAATAAATATATTTTAAGCATACTTTACAGCTCACTTTTAGGAAAATTATAATAATCCTAATATGAATCTATCTTTGGAAATATGTAATAAGTAATCTGGGATACCATTATGCTATCTTAAGATATATTAACACCTTTTTTTGAAACATGTTTTTTCTTAATGAACTGTTTAATATACAAATAGTATATTAATATATCCACACACAAATAATGTACATATATTTGATAAATAGTATATTACAATATATCCACAAATAAATTGTGTGTATGTTTTAAAAAATTTATATCACTATATATATGTAAACAAATTGTGCATAACTTTTAAAAATAGTATTATACAATATTTAGTCTAACCAGTTGTAGAAACATGTTTGAAAAAACAGTATACTACATTTGAAAAGGTATTACACAAACTAAGATCATATTTAAGGTAATCACATATCATTGTCTTGGTTTTTAAGTGACAGGCCTCCATGTAAACTACACAACAGATTTATAAGCTATGAGGACCTGGCCATCTTGAGAAGATACAGTAACATAATCTTCTGAACTAGATGTCAACATATGCTTTTCACAAAGGAAAGTTGTGAAGAAAGAAAAATGTTGTGGGGTTCAAACAGAAGTATAAGTTTTGTATCATGGAAGATACTGAGGCCTCTCCAGATATTCTTACTTTCTTCTTCTGCCTCATTCGTATGAGTGATATAATTGTACTGTGCTTGTTTACAGTATAGCTGTGATATCTGTGCCTTTTGGCCAACAAATCTAACTTCACCAGGCATTGTTTCTTCAGGTTATCTTTTCTGGCTAGTTTTATGAAACACTGCACAGCTTTACTGTTGTGTCATTATCTTTGTAATCTGGGGGGATGTTAGCACAGTTGATAGGAGACTCACTTCCAAATCCAGCTGTGACTTGCTCCAGGTCATGGATGGTGTTTGAAACCGGGCGGTTCCAGGGGTTCCAGCCTCTAAGTAATGGGTACCAGAGTTTACACTCTGGGGTAAACAAAGGAATGTCAATGTAGCTACGTACTGATGGCACAGCACTTATGGTTTATAACCATGTGCAGTGATGCTGGTCCACATCTCCTGACTTTACTCTTACCTTTACCTTTGTAATCTGGACTACAGATGGTGCCGTCCAGTGGACCAGCCTTGGAGAACCCCGTGATTTGCCCTTAAGGGACATTTTCACAACATTTTTCCTCTTTGTTCAGGAAACATTACAAAGTTCACTCACCATTCTTTCACAACTCTTGTGTCTATGTAAGACTTCCTACCTATTTTGAAGTAGCCATTTGTTAGTTGGCCCCTGGGTCACACTGTTCCCATTTTTGAAGATCACCCAGTGAGATGTAGTCAACACCACACACAAATGCTGCCATGGCCCACCATTATTATTCAGATTAACTTCTTCTGAGGCAAAGATTGGAGCCGTTGCATGAAAGCCACTCAGAGTTAGGAAGATATTATGCCTGCATCAGATATATTTATCGTATTACTAAAAGTGAAAATAAAATACTGTGTCCTTAAATTTTAAGGTGCACTGCATTGTTAAATCTTTTGGTTGGAGTCTATAATTACCTTACGTCATTACATGCAAAGAAGTTCTGACTTTTGATTAAGGTGGTCTTCATCACTCGTGATGGACGAACAACATTAGTTAGATCAAAGAGAAAACACATTTCTGACTTTTTTTCTTGCAAACATTTGTTACATTAACTGATAAATTGGAATAGTTTGTTTTACTCCTTGATAGTTATCATTTAAAATTATTTGCTTTCAAACACTATCTAATTTAAAAATCAGAACTACATGATCAATGATTATGAGAATAATGGTGGCTGATTAGTCTAATATGAGCCTGGAAAGTTCCTGAGCAGTGGGGACAGATAAAAGCCTCAGTAAGTGTGGGATTAGCAGTACGATTCTTTCTAGTTTGCCTCCGTTTCTCTGCCTGTGCAACCTCCGCTGCCCGACAGGCCGATGCACCATGCCTGAGAGACGTAGGCCATCGAGAACAGTCTTGCTTAGCAGTTTCCCATGTTGCTGTGATGCCAAAAGAATTGGGAGCAGTCTTGAGAGTGTCCTTATAGCACTTCTTCTGTCATCCCTGGGACCTCTTGCTGGAACTTGCTATAAAACACTGTCTTTGGGGAGGTGATAGTCTGGCATGCCGGTTAGGTGACCAGCCCAATGCAGCTGACTAACTAATAAAGATATAATGAGTGGCATGATACTGAAGGAGTTAATTTTTTCAACTTATACAATGTGCGGTGCATAAATACCCCTTAACTATAAATCTCAAATTTTTTTTTTTCTCACATTTGGTCACACTGGCTTTTCCAGTAGCCACTTCAAATGTGTTAATGTACTCACAGTATTTATTCTGTTCTGCAAATTATGCCAAAAACTAGTATTTATTAATAAAAGGATTATTAACCATGTGCTATGTGTCACCGAGGTTCAGAGGTAAGTGAGCACTTTTTCCAATCCTAGACTACTAGAGTGAATTCTCCAGTGAAAAGCTGAGAAAAAGTTATTTCTCATGAATTTCATTTACTGTAAATATTATCTTTGTGATGCTTTTCCCATCTGATTTTACCACTGACCACAGATAAATGCATCTCTAATAATAATATTAATAATGATAATAATAATGATGATAATAATAATTATGGTGATACTGAATTGAAACATGAGAAGTAAAACAGGAGATTATTAGAATTGCAGAAATCCTAAACATTCATGGTAAAGATCTGAGAATAAATTTTAAAAAACATACTGGCAACAAGAAGCATCCTTGAGAATTGAAAACCAAGTTGGAACTTTTCAAAACATTTAACAAGGTATTTTAGATTAGAGAAAGATGCGTATTATCATATAGAGTAGGATTTATGCAGCTTTTGTGAACTCTTATCATGTATATCATCATCATCAGGTGACTGCCGACTGGAATGGACTATCATGCCTTTCCACAATCTGCAATCTCCTGCAGCATGTATTAGTGCGTGTGTTGACACACCTCCATGCCATGCAACAAGACTGTCAAGAATCTTCTCTCGTTGTCTTCCTCTATCTCTCCCTCCACAGATCTTTTCAGTGGTCACACCATGCTCTATTTTCCCTCTTCTCATAACATAGCTTAAAAATAATGACTGTCTCCTTTTGATGTCTGTGATTAGTTGTCTTCATGCTCCCGCCTCTTTCAAAACCTCCCAGTTGCTCTTCTTGGCTGTCCAAGGAATTTTAAGAATTCTTCTGTAAAACCAGGTCTCTGAGGCCTCAAGAAATATTATGTATATATGGAACAGAATTATGGACAGTTGGATAGTAAAAAAAATTTTGGAAGCGGCAGTGATCTAGTTTTTTTTTTAGGCTGTCAGTTAAATATGTAGTACATATATACCAACTACACAGAGAACACACAGTCTCACCCATCTTCAGATGCTAGAACCAGAAATGTCCCATGTGAATCTGGGTGGTTAAATTTGACCCATAAACACAAGCTTATCTCACTGAGATTTCCTGTATGTATAACTGGTGGCTGGCTTTTCATAGTCTGGTCACCCAGGAAGTGAAGATCAAAGTTTGCACTTTTCTCTGTTAGTAATCACAATAATAAACTTTATTTTAATAAAGGTAGTATCTTAGTCACTGTTGTTAGTCACAATAATAAACTTTATTTTAATAAAGGTAGTATCTTAGTCACTGTTGTTAGTCACAATAATAAACTTTATTTTAATAAAGGTAGTATCTTAGTCACTGTTGTTAGTCACAATAATAAACTTTATTTTAATAAAGGTTGTATCTTAGTCACTGTTGTTAGTCACAATAATAAACTTTATTTTAATAAAGGTAGTATCTTAGTCACTGTTGTTAGTCACAATAATAAACTTTATTTTAATAAAGGTAGTATCTTAGTCACTGTTGTTAGTCACAATAATAAACTTTATTTTAATAAAGGTTGTATCTTAGTCACTGTTGTTAGTCACAATAATAAACTTTATTTTAATAAAGGTTGTATCTTAGTCACTGTTGTTAGTCACAATAATAAACTTTATTTTAATAAAGGTTGTATCTTAGTCACTGTTGTTAGTCACAATAATAAACTTTATTTTAATAAAGGTTGTATCTTAGTCACTGTTGTTAGTCACAATAATAAACTTTATTTTAATAAAGGTAGTATCTTAGTCACTGTTGTTAGTCACAATAATAAACTTTATTTTAATAAAGGTAGTATCTTAGTCACTGTTGTTAGTCACAATAATAAACTTTATTTTAATAAAGGTTGTATCTTAGTCACTGTTGTTAGTCACAATAATAAACTTTATTTTAATAAAGGTTGTATCTTAGTCACTGTTGTTAGTCACAATAATAAACTTTATTTTAATAAAGGTAGTATCTTAGTCACTGTTGTTAGTCACAATAATAAACTTTATTTTAATAAAGGTTGTATCTTAGTCACTGTTGTTAGTCACAATAATAAACTTTATTTTAATAAAGGTAGTATCTTAGTCACTGTTGTTAGTCACAATAATAAACTTTATTTTAATAAAGGTAGTATCTTAGTCACTGTTGTTAGTCACAATAATAAACTTTATTTTAATAAAGGTTGTATCTTAGTCACTGTTTGTTAGTCACAATAATAAACTTTATTTTAATAAAGGTAGTATCTTAGTCACTGTTGTTAGTCACAATAATAAACTTTATTTTAATAAAGGTTGTATCTTAGTCACTGTTGTTAGTCACAATAATAAACTTTATTTTAATAAAGGTAGTATCTTAGTCACTGTTGTTAGTCACAATAATAAACTTTATTTTAATAAAGGTTGTATCTTAGTCACTGTTGTTAGTCACAATAATAAACTTTATTTTAATAAAGGTAGTATCTTAGTCATTGTTGTTAGTCACAATAATAAACTTTATTTTAATAAAGGTTGTATCTTAGTCACTGTTGTTAGTCACAATAATAAACTTTATTTTGATAAAGGTTGTATCTTAGTCACTGTTGTTAGTCACAATAATAAACTTTATTTTAATAAAGGTAGTATCTTAGTCACTGTTGTTAGTCACAATAATAAACTTTATTTTAATAAAGGTAGTATCTTAGTCACTGTTGTTAGTCACAATAATAAACTTTATTTTAATAAAGGTAGTATCTTAGTCACTGTTGTTAGTCACAATAATAAACTTTATTTTAATAAAGGTAGTATCTTAGTCACTGTTGTTAGTCACAATAATAAACTTTATTTTAATAAAGGTAGTATCTTAGTCACTGTTGTTAGTCACAATAATAAACTTTATTTTAATAAAGGTTGTATCTTAGTCACTGTTGTTAGTCACAATAATAAACTTTATTTTAATAAAGGTAGTATCTTAGTCACTGTTGTTAGTCACAATAATAAACTTTATTTTAATAAAGGTTGTATCTTAGTCACTGTTGTTAGTCACAATAATAAACTTTATTTTAATAAAGGTAGTATCTTAGTCACTGTTGTTAGTCACAATAATAAATTTATTTTAATAAAGGTTGTATCTTAGTCACTGTTGTTAGTCACAATAATAAACTTTATTTTAATAAAGGTAGTATCTTAGTCACTGTTGTTAGTCACAATAATAAACTTTATTTTAATAAAGGTAGTATCTTAGTCACTGTTGTTAGTCACAATAATAAACTTTATTTTAATAAAGGTAGTATCTTAGTCACTGTTGTTAGTCACAATAATAAACTTTATTTTAATAAAGGTAGTATCTTAGTCACTGTTGTTAGTCACAATAATAAACTTTATTTTAATAAAGGTAGTATCTTAGTCACTGTTGTTAGTCACAATAATAAACTTTATTTTAATAAAGGTTGTATCTTAGTCACTGTTGTTAGTCACAATAATAAACTTTATTTTAATAAAGGTTGTATCTTAGTCACTGTTGTTAGTCACAATAATAAACTTTATTTTAATAAAGGTAGTATCTTAGTCACTGTTGTTAGTCACAATAATAAACTTTATTTTAATAAAGGTTGTATCTTAGTCACTGTTGTTAGTCACAATAATAAACTTTATTTTAATAAAGGTTGTATCTTAGTCACTGTTGTTAGTCACAATAATAAACTTTATTTTAATAAAGGTAGTATCTTAGTCACTGTTGTTAGTCACAATAATAAAACTTTATTTTAATAAAGGTTGTATCTTAGTCACTGTTGTTAGTCACAATAATAAACTTTATTTTAATAAAGGTAGTATCTTAGTCACTGTTGTTAGTCACAATAATAAACTTTATTTTAATAAAGGTTGTATCTTAGTCACTGTTGTTAGTCACAATAATAAACTTTATTTTAATAAAGGTAGTATCTTAGTCACTGTTGTTAGTCACAATAATAAACTTTATTTTAATAAAGGTTGTATCTTAGTCACTGTTGTTAGTCACAATAATAAACTTTATTTTAATAAAGGTTGTATCTTAGTCACTGTTGTTAGTCACAATAATAAACT